TCGTCGTGCAGACTCGCGCTCCAATGTGTTTCTAGAAATACAAACCCGCCCTCTGTGGCGCTAACCTTACTTATTCTTCAGATACAGAATCAACTTTAATTAATATCCGCAAGTTTTTAACTATAAATGTAGACACAAAGTTATCCTTGGTGCTAAACAGGAAAGTCAGACTTTTGCAAAAGTCTAATGTTGGAAATTAGACCGATTTCGGTTGTTCATATTTGTCTACGACTTGCATAAAGAGCCCAACTACTTCATTTTAGCGGTGTGACATGGGTAAGCTAGACTTTCATACGATTCTGAAATGAATTCAGAGCCTAACCCTAACTATTTCATTGTATCGGTATGAACATACAGAGTTAACTAACACTTACGCATTGAGCGTGAGGATCACTCACCTAGGCCTATTCTCAAACTCACATTCATTAGTAAAAAATATCACGTTTCGATCAAATTAGCTGTAAAGCATTGTGGTTGTTTAACCGGTTGGATCCAGGTGAAATTCAGCATCAAAAAGATCTAAGAAATGAACCAGACTGCACCAATTTGCTTCATTGAATAACAAAGTGTTTGAGGAGGGACCATGCTCACAGCCCCCCCCCCCCTAGAAGGCGATCGCCTTCACTTGCACCAACTTACTGCGAGTTAAAAGTTCACTCACTCAAATTCTTAAAGTTGGCAGTCCTGGAACATGGACAACCTCCATGCTTTAATACAGCTTTTTTCTCACTTCTAGATAGGTTTGTCCCTGATGAAGGTCCATCTTTCGAAAGCGCTCGGGTTATAAGGTTTCGTATTTTGTTTTTTATTGAATTTTTGAACATTCGTGTTTCCCTAACACAGTGAATAGCACATGTTATCGGTGTGAAAATGGTTAAGATATACTTTCATACAGCTCTAATACAAATACAGATTCGAACTTTAACTACTAGATGTTATCGGTGTGAACATGGTTAAGATATACTTTCATACAGCTCTAATACAAATACAGATTCGAACTTTAACTACTAGATGTTATCGGTGTGAACATGGTTAAGCTTGGAATCAGATGACCTGTCCTCTGAATGCAATCAACAATGGGACATACATAACAGTTTCATTCATAAATCATAATGCAAACATTTAACATCAGTCACACAGAGCAATTGAAACGTCTGCTTTTAGTGCTACCTCGTGTGTTTTATAGTATTGATTTCTTTCACCACAGATTTCTATAAAATAATTTACATATTGAGTAAAACAAATAATTAACAGTGGATTCAGATTTTGAAGCATGTCTAAGTTAATAAACATTAAATAAACGTTACTTAATTCTAAAATATCCAACCAAATAAGTTTAGCGTCAGGTTATAAGATTTTACAATGATGATATCGTGCAGTTATTTCGTTTCTCGATACTATGTGTGATCTTTCATTAGCTTGTGACCAGTTGCAGTTGGACTAATCATCAAATTATCACAGAGGTTCTATGAAATAACTAAAAGCTCTTTATGTACTAAATAAACAAAATGTGTGTCTGGGAAAAATACACAGTCGTATATCTGTCATTTCATATCTGTTCCTTATACGTTTCCACATTTCTTGATCAATCAGCACCAAACTTGACACAGTGATTCAGGGTGGCATGAGGAAGGTCATAGGGGGTCAAACCCCCCATATAATTTTATATTGATAGCTAGTGCTCAAAAATAAAATCTAGTGATGACGTTACTGCAGACAACACCACCACACTGGCTACTTTTCCTATCTTGTCCCATTGATCAGTTTTTTGGTAAACGTCTTTACATTACTGGACACAAATGAGTTTGTTTGTTTGTTTTTAATTATGCACAAAGCTACACAAGAGCTATCTGTGCTCTGCCCACCACGGGTATCAAAACCCGGTTTCTAGCGTTGTAAGTCCGCAGACATACCGCTGTACCACTGGGGGCAAATGAGTTTGTAATGACTCCGTAATCGAAGGATACTGCTTAAATGCAATCTTTCGCATTTAAATATTTAGTAAATTTCATACGTTTATCTTATGTGTTTAGCCGGCTATTAATACGTTGCATAATTACTAAACTTTACACACAGTCATAGGGCGCGTGCACTATGGACCCAGTATTGTTTTATAGTGCGAAGAGGGGGCTCGGGTCTGGGGAAGGGGAGGAGAAAGCAGAGATCACCAGCTACCACAGTAGTTTAAAATCAGTACAAAACACTACTTTTGACATACGTACTACTGAATCACACATAAAGAAAGATTCCCCGGTAGGTCAGCGATAAATTTAGGGACTTACGACGCTAAAATCTAAGGTTCGATTCCGCAGTGAATAGAGTGCAGACAGCCATTGTGTAGCTTTGAACTAAAAATCAAAAACAGCGATATAAATAAAGTAAAACGAGAGTTATAAAGTTATCGTACACGTGACAAAGAACGACCATTTATTATCGATCTTACAGTACTTATTGATAGACGAAATTTTAAGAAACCATTCAATAAATTTTTTTCCCATACCATGAGCCTAAAATACATATATATACTACCTCGGTTGTTCAGTGCCGTCTATATAATTGTTCTTTTGTATGTCTACGCAATAACGACAGAAGAGTCAATATCTGTGTATTGGCAAGTTTTAACACATCATACAAATAGACCACGGCAAAACCGAAATGCAACATTTAGAAACATTTTACCTATTTGCTTTTAGAAGCAGGCTTAGCCAACTTACACTCTCCTAACAATTTGTCAGGAAGTCAGTAACAGTTTAATCAGCCAACGACCAACCTCAGGAGTTGCCATAAGTTCATTAGATACAGCTTAACCAGCTAAAGACCTACCTCATGATTTACCATGACTTCGTTAGATACAGTTTAATCAGCTAAAGACCTACCTCATGATTTACCATGAAGTTCGTTAGATACAGTTTAACCAGCTAAAGACCTACTTGATGATTTACCATGAAGTTCGTCAGATACAGTTTAACCAGCTAAAGACCTACCTCATGATTTACCATGAAGTTCGTCAGATACAGTTTAACCAGCTAAAGACTTACCTCACGATTTGCCAAGTAATCAATTAAGAACAGTTTAATCAACCAAAGCTCTTCCTCACGAAATGCCAGAAAGCTAATTAGGAATAGTTCAACCAGTCAATTATCTATATTTCGAATTGATAGAAAGTTATTAGGATAATAACATTTTGTTCCAAAAGTGTGGTTTATTTTTTATTTATTTTTACATTAATTCAACTAGGTACAGGTTTGACCAAAACACTACTAATGGAAATAGAATTAGCTAGATCTACCTCACGGATCACATAAAAAAAAAAAAAACTAAGGAGATATTTAGTCTCTCAAAGACATACTTAATAATTCAAGGGCCAAAATCACGATTTTCCAAAAAAAATTAACCTAGAATAACTGGTTTATTCAGTCAAATACCTGACTAATCTTCAAGAAGCTAACTGAAAACAGACAATATGGCAAGAAGTCAATGGAAACGGGTTTCAGCCAACGAAGGCCTACTGGCAGCATGCCAGGAAGTCAACTGGTAACAGGATTTAGCCAGTCGAAAGAAAGGCTACCTGAAAATACGCCAGGAAGACAACTAGAAACAGGATTTAGCCAACATAGAACCCCCTAACGACTTGCTACGAAGTTAATTGAGAATAATTAAATTTAGCTAGTTAGAGACTTACCAAAGTTCTTGCCAAGGATCAAAAGTAAGAAACTTAGCTTTTCATAGACTGCTCAAAACACCTGTCATGGATTAAAGTTGGAATAAGTTTGGACAGTCGAAGACTAACTAAAACATTTGCTACGGATTCAAGTTGAGATAGGTTTAGCCAGTCGAAGACGAGCTAAAACATTTGCTGCGAATTAATGTTGAAATAAGTTTGGACAGTCGAAGTCTGACTAATACACTTGCTATGGATTCAAGTTGGTGTAATTTTAACCAGTCGAAGACTGACTAAAAATACTTGTAAAGTTTGAATAAATTTAGCCAGTCGAAGACTGACTCAAACACTTGCTATGCTACGGATTAAAGTTGGGATAAGTTTGGACAGTCGAAAACTAACTAAAACACTTGCCACGGATTAAGGTTTGATTTAGTTTAGCCATTCGAAGACCTATCATTAGGTCTTAGCCAAAGATCTAACTAACCGAATATTCCAAAACACTAAATTTAGAATTGAAGATAATTTTACAATCTTAACTTGGTAGAACCCAATGAAGGGCAATATAAAGATGGAATTTCCTAACCCTTCGTCTAATCACTATTTTAACGCTTATTTCCTTCCGAGGAAATGTTGCATGCAAATAACACGAGTTTCAGAGGTACATTTCAATTATGATTCCAAATCACGTCTAGTTTTATGTTAGACTTATTAACATTTTACTGAAACACAGACAGTCATAATTATATTAGAAAAAAAAATTATAAGTAGCTATAAAATTTCAGTAATCTACTTCGTAAACATAAATAATTTACAAAGATAAGTAGCATACCGATTAGCATAACAGGTACTGAAGTAGTGTTCACAGTCAAGTGTTTGGAGTAATAAACTCAATGCTTGAATGTCAAATAAGTTAAAGCCATCAAAAGTCACATACCAGTAATATTTGAAGAGTTCTTAATATTTTTCAGTGAAAATCAAATACAAATGTAGATTTACAAAATTATTATTAATTCACTAATTATCAGAGAGAATAGATCTAATATACTACCCAGTCGTGGGCCTGGTTTAAACCTAAATTTGATCTTTACATGCAACGCCCTCTTTGGAAAAAAATTACTCGGGTAATTTCGATAATTTTTAAAGAGCCACCAGACACATGGGCAGCTGGTATTCATCTCATGATAAATGTAAGATATAATCTATTTAATTAATTTTATTCTTAGACTTGGAATATAATTTTAGATGTATTGTTACATAAACCTATCTCTCGTTGAGGAAGTCATTTTGAAACTTGGCTTTCTTACCCAAAGAGTGTATAAATAGAGTTTACACTTACTCGTTGGCGTCTACCTCGATATTTTCGAGACGAGGGTTGGATACAGGAATGAGAACGAGAAATGTGACGGCAGCCAAGCACAGGCAGCCCACAGGTCGCTTTTTCTGTTCTCTACCAGCGTTCCATGAGATTTCCTTCGTGAAGGACAATCTTGCACGAGGCATCAGAAGCTTCTGAGGTCCCATGGCTGAGCTTGTTATGGCGCTTTGTCACATGAGGTCAAAGCTACAACTAGTAGAGAAAGTGGAAAAGAGGCTACACTCTTAATTACTCAAGCCAGAAAACAAGCCACCCTAACTCGCGAGTATCACTCCACTTCTAGAGAGCAGATACCCAATTGTAAACCTTTTCTCCATTGGCTAACCATTCTTCACGTGACAAACAGGCAACGATGTGCTTTAGTACTAGGCGCTGATTGGATGACTCGACTGGGCGAAACAGAGCTATGTAAAGGTTGCAGCGAAAGCAACTGCCGTGTTCACGTATCCCATCATGTATTAAGTAGCGATGGCTTATTCTCTCAAAACAAATGAGATGAAAAATGTTCGGATGCTCTGTAGGAGGCATTATTTGTTTGTTCTAAGGAACAAAAACATGAGCATAAAGTATCCATCAACATAATCAGCCTTCATTTGACTGGCGTTGTGCATAAATAGAGGGATTTCAAATGCATTTCAACACCATCTGGGAGTGAGAATATGAAACTTCGAACGTTCGAGGAGAATATTTATTATATTTAATAGAATATTCATGAGATGAAGGAAAAACTGTTATGTAACTTCTTATTGAAGAGTAGCATGACATTTATTAGCCAAACGTTCAGATATCAGAATGTAATCTGTTAAACTTTTGCAGTAATAAAGTTCCTATTTTCTAGGTTCTCGCTTTTTAATATTACCTTTTTTTCCAACCAGACATTAATCAAGTCGTTTATCAAACGGATGACGATAAAACAAAGTGCTTACAGATGGCGCAAATGTAAATTGAAACTCTTTTGTTCAAAATTCATTAAATGGAATATTGAAGAAGACCAAATTACCAAACGGTGCAAAAAAACAACAACAACAAAACTAGTTGTTTTTAAACTTTCAAATACCTTCTTCATATTCTTTATCTTATTCTTCCCTTTTTTACCCAAAGTAGTGCAAACTAATCTCAGTCAAATTTAATCGTATATATTATACAAATATATAATTCCTTATATATATATATAAACATATGCGAAAATGTACATACTGGTTGATACAAAATTATCTTATGGAATTAATATTTCATCTTCCGAGGCATTAAGCTAATGACACTTTATTCTCAAATTAATAACACGACAAATCGGTGAGAACTCGGTAGAAATTTGAAAACTATAAAGATGAGTTCGTAGTCTTTAGTACTCAAGCATATTTTAAGCCCCCCCCCCCCAGTGGCACAGCGGTATGTCTGTGGACTTACAACGCTAGAAACCGGGTTTCGATACCCGTGGTGAGCAGAGCACAGATAGCCCTTGTGTAGCTTTGTGCATAATTAAAAAACGAACAAAACAAAACATATTTTAAGTGTGGGGATGGATGGAAGGTAACCTTTGCACCGAACCTGGTGAAGTTAGTGCATTCCATTGAGTAATTATGTGACATTACTGAATCCTCGTGACATTTTAACTCTAAGATTTTAACGGCTGTATGAAAAGACAGTAGGTGTATTAAAAAGTATGATATTATAATTTATACCTTAACGATTATGAGTAATTATCGAAAGAAATGATTAAATATTTATTCACTGGGCTTGGTAGCAGCTGTACAGATGGTCTTGACTGTGATGTAGTAGCTGTCCAATAAGCAATGCCAAAAACATTGAAAATTCAACTAATTTGAAACCATAAAACTTCTAAAAAAGACACACCGAACGATAACAAAAGTCGAATGATAAATAAGACAGGGAAGTAGTCTTGGACATTAGTACACAGGCCACAAACCTTTTATTTATTGTTCAGGGCTTTGAATAACCAGCTTGCAGTATTATGCTAAAAACTCAATATATATATATATATTTTATTATTACTGCGTACTCGACTTTTAACGAGATACGACGAAGAAATCCATGAAGCTTATATAGGCAAGCACATTTTTTTTTTATCGAGAATCAAGCTCTCTGTAGTCTAAATGCTTAATGGCCATCTCTCACTAAAGTTAACTTCTTCCTGAGCCTGGGCTATGTAATATTAGACTGTGAAAGTTATGTTAGTCGTTACATTTCTTCTTTAGTCTTGTCCTGCTAAACAGTTATTGGCCTATTCCTTACTCTCTCTTCTTTTTTTTTAACCGCTATACGTCTGGAAGTTAATATATTAATCCCTAATATGCCTTTTTTTTTTACGTAAGCTCTGTACGTAACCAGTTAATCTGATTACACAGTGGCACACGAACAATCAACCAAATAAAAAATAAAACTAAGTCCTCAGTGCTGATAAAGCTTGTGTGAAAGCCATTTTGTGAGCTGCTTTCCGAAATTAGTCTTGGCTGTTACTCAAGGGGAAATCATATTTGACACGTACTTTACATATTTGATTTGCTTATAATTTTGAAGGAAAAATTTACTTTGGCTATAAAATATAAGCACAAATATAAGAGCACAAGTGTAGGTGCATACAACGGAGAAGAAGGTAACGAGACGAGCTCGTTTCTTTCTTTTTTTACGGAAATTATCTGTAATATTACGTACATTAAAAAGTAATGCGTTATAATACCTCGTTAATGACAAAAGTAATATTATTATAGTCAAGAGTTACGTAAACAACGCATTCCCCCTATTCCGTTAATTATTTTATACACAATCTTGGGTCCGTTATGAGATTAAAAAGTCTGCAAAAAATTGTAAAAACAATATGTTAGAAATCAAGGGTAATATTTTACGGTTTGTCGCTGTTGTTAATACTTGTTTATATAGAATACGTGATACTTAACATAAGTTTAATGTCTAATCGTTTCTTTGTGTATAATATGCCGGACTGTGAATCCGATAGTCCATGGTTACCGCAAAACTGCGCTCCGCATTTTGGAGTTGTTAGAGTAGCCCAAGAATTAGTAGTGGATACTGTTGACTAGCTACCTTCTCTTTAGTTTATCAATTCAAAATTAGGGACGGCTGGCGCAGATAGCCCTTTGTAGCTTTGCGTAAATATCCGAAATAAATAAATGAAAAGAACACAGTACATCCCTACCTTGGATGATCTTGGAGATGTTGTATGAAATCCAATTTTCTTTAAGCTAAAATTATATATAAAATAAACATAGGTGTTGTGTTTAGTTGTACATATTTGCCTAAATATTTATATTTATAAATAGGTAAATACTTGGCCTTTTAAGTATTGCTGTATATCGTCTCTCTCTTTACCAAGTAGTTTAACTTCATGAATGTTGGACGCATATTATATGGCAATTATTGCTTTGAAATTCCGTAAAGTTTGTTTCAGTTTTTCTATAACATGTAAAACGATCATTTCATTCTTTATTAGATTTAGAATTTGTTGCGTTAAACGTTTTACTCGTGAATAAAAACAAAATGAACGAAGACAAACACGAAATAGAAGTTTTCAAGGGGTGACCATAATTATCAACTAAAACAAATTTGGCTGATTCTTACGATCATCATTGTACATTTAAGTAATTCGTTTTCTTTTAAAACATTTGTTATTAATATCATCATTACTACCTACCACGACGTTATGTTTGATGCATGTGTAGGAATTTTGAACTGTTTGTCCAGGAAAACGAGATATTTCGGTGGTCAAAAGCAGATCGCCAGACCTAGTACAATCGATAATATTTCATCAGCACTATTGTTTTTCGTGTTAAAATATTACATTCTAAGAAGGGGGGAAGGGATATTTACAGCATGGAACAGCTCCTCGACGATTGTCATTCAGATTCATGGATAATATCTTTACACATTTCATCATCACTAAGAGAAGCTTCCTTTACAAATTATCCTAACCTATAAATACATGTACCATCAATTTATGTCGATTCTATTCTACGCCCCCCCCCCAGTGGCACAGCGGAATTACAACGCTAGAAACTTGGTTTTTGATAACCTTGGTGGGCAGAGCACAGATAACCCATTGTGTAGCTTTGTGCTTAATTTCAAACTAACACTGATTTTTCTAAAACTGTAAAATATGCATGATCTCCCAAAAATAACTTTATCGAGGGAGGTTTAAACGTTGCATTGTTTATTAAAGGCTCCAACAAATTCTGAGAATTTCTTAAAGTCATTTTTATTAAGTTTGCCTAATATAGTACTTTGATACTCGTCAAAAACTTCAAGAAAGAAATATGAGCAAATATTTCTGTAATCACACTAAGTTTGAAAAATATCAAATAAAAAAAATACAAAGTGCACTCTGTTGCTGATTTTATTCATATATCATAAAAGGGTTCAGATAATATGTATCTTCAGAAAATATTTGAATTAAAATATTGCTTTTTAATATCTATTCTAAATGTGTTTTTTCTTTAGCAGCCATTTCGACTAAAAATGTATACATGATTATTTGATATTAAAAAAAATAATGGGTAATTCAAGATTCTGCTATAACACAGCGTCTCAAAATATATGTATTAGTAATTCTAAGGAAGGACACCTATACACAGGGACGTTTAATCGATTTTGGAATAGAACGCTAAAAAACCCCACTTGCTTATTAATAATGTTCATCACTTATTTTTTATGATTTCATAATTGACTTTCAGAGTAAGAAGAAAGAATCATTTTAAAGAGCTAGTGCATAAAAACAAAAACATTAAAATCACTGACTGAGAAATAAGAAAATGTGGGATTTCCTCAGACTCAGAGTTTCTACCCATAAGGCATTCGAACCTAACTTGTAGGAGTCTACCGGGGATATGATTGTGTCTTTTGTGTATAAGTAACTGGTATATTCAATTTCTTATCTTTATTTATTGCAGTTTCAGCAAAGAGGGCACAAAAAATACGATTTTAATACCCAATTGGATCGAAGGCTCAACATTCAGGCTTTTGGTGTTTTCCTATGGATCAGTTTTATAACATTATTATGTACTTCGTTGCTTTTCGAAGATAAGTTTTTAGGAATAACGACAGTGCATCGTATTTGTCCTATCTTGAACCCTAATATCTGAAACGTTAAACTATAAATAACAACTTTTCCAAAGATGAGTTAAGTTTATCTCTCGGCCTAAACCGATTTTAGTTGCATTCAAAGAAACCAGTTTAAAAGTAAGATATTTAACTAACATCATATAGCTTTATAATAAACCATGAAACTTATATTCGTGTACAGTTGTAAGTTAGATCATTTTAAATAGAGTTAATGTGTCTACTGTTGGAAAAGACAAGTTCTAAACAGATAAGGGTTACAAATAAATAAATAAATCCACGTTGGCAGTACAAACTAAGAAGCTAACATCATATAGCTTTATAATAAACCATGAAACTTATATTCGTGTACAGTTGTAAGTTAGATCATTTTA